GGTGTGATATAGTCACATGACCTCGCTGACACAACAATAGCTTAACTTGTGCTTAAAATTATTGAATATGGATTAATACAATAAGACATTTGCTCACTTCATACCTTAGAAAAATTTATATTTCTGCACTACTTTTAACTGGAAATAGAGAACTATTTTTTAGGGGCCTTACCTAATGTTCTAACTAGCTGTAAGGAGATTTTTAAGTGTTTTTCATGTGACCACTCCAAAATCATACAATTAACACTGAATGCATTCACGAATCACATTTTCTTCAGAAGCAGTTTAACCAGTGCATAAAGGTGATGACATTCAGTAAAGATGAGGCAGTTAGTGAAATTTGCTAATCAGTTAATTGTGCGGCACATTAATCGATTATTCTCACGAGGCTTGGATAGTTAAACAGTAATAATCAGAAACACTAGATTTGAATAGTTAATTATTATCATGAGTGGTAAAACAAATCAATGAAGCTGAACAACTTTGAATTGATTGAAAATAATGAGAAATCAAAAAAAAAGTAATAATTGGAAACACTAATTTCAATTAGTTGATTATTGGCATGACATTAATTGTTTTAATCACCAAGCTTTAACGTCCAGTAAGTATTGTTTGCAGAAAATTTTCATTGTGTGAAATCAAAGGTGCATATTATGTTGTTAAACATTTTCCATTTTGTACTTTATCACAAACAGATATGTACATCAGAAAGTTTATTACAAATATTTTGTTTAATTTACTTCTGATATAATCCATAAATTATAACAAAGAATATTTCTATTGTATGATGGATTAACTACCATAGTTTTTATACATATGTTTAGTGATTAAACTTTTTAGAACTGCTATACAATTGTGATGTATATAGTTGACTAGATGTGCCCATTTTGAAGAATTAATACACCCTCATAGCATAGTCTTAAATCTGTATGTTTTTCAAAGCTTTTGTCACTGTAGCAAACTGAGTGGAGATTAGTTGAGCCACACAGAAAAACCTTTCATTTGTGGTGACATAATGAGTTATTTAACTTAGATATACACATACTTACAATAAAATTTCTGTTTGTTTAATGACTTAACAGTGGTATCAAACAATACTGCAGTATCCTTTCCTTCATCCATATAATTAAAGTATTTAAATCTAAATTATGTGTGTAATTTCAATTATGATAACCCACGTGCATAATCATAGATTTATCATAATTATATGCCATCTGCCCTGTGTTTGTTAAACTAACCAAAGTTTCTCTGTAAAATCAAAGTTTCCTTATTACAACCACCCTAAGATTTTGATCACATCAACAACTTCTAGGCTTCTACCAACATTTTTAATATAAAAGCAACATTTGTAGCACAGATCCTTCTTGAAATATTAGTCCAGTTAGAATGAACTCTATTAACAACTTTCTGGTTCCTCTCATCTTATTTAATTTTTAAAACAGTCTTTTATATAGCACCTTATCAAAAATCTTCTGAAATTCCAAGTAAATCAAATTCACTCCTTTATTTTTATCTAACTAGGAAGTAACATCCTCAAAAAAGTTAATACATTAGTAAAACCATGTTGGTTATCTGACAAAATTGTTAATTTCATCAAATGATTCTTTAAAGGTTTCCCTAAAATTCCCTGTAAGTCCTTATTTATATGTGTGACTAAATGTAATATAAATTTGTTTCAACATGCAGTAATAGCATAGCAGTGAAAGATATAATTATGGTATTTATAACTAAAAGTTTTAAACTGGACATAGATTGGAATTAGTTTGCCATACATATGTATGTATGTAATGAGATTTGAGCTATTTTTGTTATAAGTTATTAACTTTGATTGTGTTCTTGTTTCATTGTCTTGCTCAGTACTCTTATGTTCACTGTTTTTAGAGCTTCATAATTTTCTGTATGTCTTTTTTCAGATTATTTTTGGGCCTATGTTTTCAGGAAAAACGTAAGTAGTGTTGATTTGATAGCTGTTTTCATACATGTTGAGTAATGCACTGTAGTGTTCACAGGTAAAAACTGAACCAACAGGTAAGTTTAAGGTCTCAATGTGGGTTTGAAAAAAATGCTTGCAGATAGAAAAAACACAAAGCTCAAGAAGTAAAATGGACACAAGGACAAGATAAAGTATTAACAGAAATTTATTCACATTAAATGTAGTTTGTTTTTTCACTCACTGTATCACATTATTAATTTTGATACATTAATATTAAAATCCAATTTGAGTAAGCCATGTGTTTGAGTGGAACTAACAATCAACTTGGTAATCAGTATAGCTAATTAAGTACACTTTTTTTTACATTTATACACATAAAAATTAGAATGCACTGTTTCATTAATTGGGTACCATTGCTATTAACAGTGTTTTTGGCTTTAATACCAATAATATCTCATGAGGTTTAGCCAGCTTAGGATATTTAGATTGATCATAAATATATATACATTAAGGTAACAATGCAAAAAATCTATAATAAAAAAAAACTTAAAGTTATAATATAATACTTTACCTCATCTCACATAATAGCTTTCCTCAACTTGTGCTGCCCTCTATATGCAAAATTTTTGCTCACCACTAGCCTTGAGGCTCACACTTAAATTCATGTATTTACATGTGGTATAGCTACACTGAAACAAGCAGCTATTATTGTATCTTGCAAATGAATATGCAACAACCCTCCACCATTGGGATTGCAACACACTCTCCTAGCACAACTGATTCCCTCTGTACTCTAGAACACAATCGTCACTTCTTGATTTGGCACTCATTTGTGCAGATGCGCAAAATTTTTGTATATCACAGTGATTAATACTTTAATTACTGACAAGTGTTGCCTTTACTTTGGGGAAGTTCTTAGATTATCTTTCATTTCCACTTTATAAACTCACAGGTTCATGTAACTATTACTGCTTCTGGTATGGATCCACAAGATCCTGATTGTACCAGAAAAGCTACTATTGTGGCATCAGATTTCACGCTTTTTTCCAAGGGGATTTATTCCTTAGTGCATTGAGAGGTGGAATCTTACACGTGGCCACATGTGTCTCCTAACCTGGGAACTGATCTTCCTTTCCCTGGGGAACCTGTTTATGTGAAAGGTGATTTTGACAGCTATTTTTCCTTCCTTGATAGGGTGCCTCAGGTTTGTTACCTTTTGTCCCTTTCTCCTTTATATCATAATTCTTTCCCTTCCCTGCTCCATTTTGGTCTGGCTTTGGATTTAAAAAAAAAAATTCTCCTTCTACCATTTGACAGCACCCAAAGAACCTAAGAATCTGCTGCAAAAGAGTGTCAAAGGTGAACAAACCAGAACTCCCACTGTGCCTGATCCTAAGAGATAGTCACCAACAATATTAACAGTGTAGAAGGCAACAGTGAGAGAATTGATGGCTAGGAGCAGAAACATGGGAGGGGGAGAAGAGGAAGGTGAAAGGAACAGGAATATGAGAAAAAGCCAAAGAAGACAAATATTTCAACATAGAAAAGGTAAGGGATCAAATATCTGCCAAAAACACCTAAGGAGAATGGTGTATAGCCTCAGAAAGTAGATGGGCAGTTGTAAGATAATATAGGAGAGTACTTAGGGTGAGATGAGGAAGTGAGAATTGGGCAGAGGAATAACAAAGGGAAGAAGGACTGGAACCCCATGCCTGAATAAGTGACTCCAGAGTCTGAGAACCAAGAAAAGGAAACTCAAACCTATGGTAGGCCACAGCACGCATGTATGACAAATGAGGGGGACAAGGCATGCTAGCACCAACATGAAGGTGAGAATGGAACTGATGGAAATGGGCAGGAATATTAGACTGATTCTTTGTTTTTCTTCTCCTCTGTTTTCTTCAGTTCCCATTTCTTTCCCTCCTCCTTGCGATTTACTTTCTTGCCAGCATCTTTCAGAGACAGTTTTGGATCTGTTGCAGAAGGCCCCATTGAACAGGTGTTTGCTACTTCCCTGGGTTTTTACTTCCATCTGTTTGTTGTCCTCAAGATGATAGAGGATTGGTGTCCTGTTATCAATCTTTTGAACTTAAATCACTTCATTGGCTTCCCTTGTTTTACCATAGAGTCTTTTCTCAACCTCTGATGTGATGTTCTTTCACTGCAGCTCTCTGGATGACAATGGTCAACATCTAGCTGTTACCTTGGGTATGTTCATAGGGGTCAGATGTTTAAATTCTGAGCTCTCTCATACAGCCTTGTATTGGCATATGTTTTCTGTCAGTTGGTCAGAGCTTTTCTTGTCACATTCACAAACTGGAACTGCAGTTTCACCATTACATGGACGACTGGCTTCTAATGGTTACTTCCCAACAAACCTCCTATGACTATACCCTTCTCCATCTTCAGGAGTCGACACATTTGGGTTAGCTGGTCAAATTGGAGTAGTCATATCTCTCCCCCCCCCCCCTCAATACTTTATTCATGTGGGTGTGATTTTCAACTCCTACCTCAGCAGGGCTCAGCTTTCTGCTTTTGTTTACGGGATATGGAGCACTTGGTTTTCAAGGCTATAACTTTTTCTCTCACTGCATGAGAGGTTTTATCTTTCTTTTTTCTTTGGAACTTGGGCTTCCATGGAATACTTTGAGGTGGTGCACATGTCTTCAGTATACTCTGCACAATCAATGGAACTTCACTCTGGATCTGTTGTATGCTTCCATTCACACTCCTTATTTCCTATAGGTCAATTTTACCTGGTGGCTCAACAAAGCCAACAATTTGATTTGTATTCATCTGTTTACAGGTGACCCTCTGGTGGGGTTGTGGGTGTTTTTACACTTGGGAGATTGCAGGTCGGTGGCCCATTGTAGAATCGACTCTCCACATCAATCTCTTGGAGCTACTAACTGTTTGTCAGGCTGTAGATCATTTCCTTTCCATGGTTTGCAGTCATCTCATCATGATCCATTCTGACAATTTGACTGTTATTTCTCATACCAATTGTTATGGGGCACTCATAGTCTTGTTCTGTGTATTTTCACACATTCAATCTCCTCTTCTTGGCCCAGTCACAACATTTTCCTCATTGCTTGTCATATACTTCCCTGTTTCACATCATTCAGCTCTGACTGTGTACACATTTAGTCAGGATTGAGCCAACCTTTATCTTTAGGCCTACCCTCTTATCCATCTCCACAGGTGCTTTCCCTTATTCATACTGCTCCATGTTGGATCCTTCTAATCTCTCCGTTCTGGATGGCCTATTCATGGTCTCCTCTATTAAACCTTCTCCAGTCCTCTCCTCCCCTTTCTCTCTCCTGCTTCCTACTCCTTCAAACTCGTCTTCCCCTTGCTCACCCAGTAGTATCCACACTTTGTCTTCATGCTTGAGTTTTCTCTGTTCCATTGCAAGATGCATATAGATTCTTTTCGTGTGTAGCCTTCCTTCTCTCCATTCATTCTTCCTTCTTACTTATTCAACAACAAAAATGGCACATTTTCCATTGTTAGTCTCTATGTCATGGCTTCTTCCCTTCCAAATCTACTGTTCCCCACCTTCTGAATTTTTCACTTGGCTCCTTGACAGTAGTTTGTTGATTTCTACCATTGCAGGATATAACGCTGTTCTGTCCACTACTTTTCGTTTTTTCTGTACTCGTTGCTTATTCTCCTCTCCTGCCCCTTCTCTGTGGTTTTGATCTTTAGGGATAGAAATAATGAAATAAAATTACATTCACTCGAAGGAAAGCTATCAGGAAGATTACATTCCCTCATGTAAAGTTGCATTTCTTAATGAATTGTTTTTTTATTTATTTAATCCATGTAATTTGTTCACTTTAACTGGTCATAACTAAAGGAATACAGATGGACCATGCATTACCAATTGGGAAAGCCAACTAAAAAGTAAAGTTAACTTGTGTGGGAATATGGGAATATAATATTTCGATCCTTTGCCTGTTGCATCCTGCCAGATTGGAATCTGAATGGTGTTCTCCATGCCATACCTCCCTTTGAATTTTTGGCTTGTTGTTCTTTGTACCATCTTTCCTTTAAAACCCATTTTTTATTCCTTTTTGCATGTAGGCATTGTAGGTTGGAAGTGTATGCCATAGATGTTTCCTGTATCCTGTACAATCATTCCTATATTCTCTTTTATCTTAACTATGCTTTTCTTCCTAAATCGTCTTTGGTATGAGAGGGGAAATGGCATGTTCACCCCTATTTCCTTTTCGTCCATTGCTCATCTTTATTCACATTCCTATCCTGATCATCTTCATTGTCCTGTGCTGGCACTTTGTTGTTATGTGGCTCACACTTCTCCTTTATATGGCTCCTACTTCCAAGATTTTACCCCTTGGAATTCGTCTTCTACCTGGGATGTCTCTCCCATTACTCTTACAGGTTGACTCTGTCAACTCATCCATCTAGACAGGTATTCTTGTCTTTTCCATCTATTCTCTCATCAAATTCATCATCTCACTCTCTCCCTCTCTCTGCTCACTTCTGTTTTCCGTTGGAAGAAATAGTTCATATTGGCATGTGGACTACACCTCACATGTTTGTCACACATTACCTTCATCATGTGGCCATCTCTTCTCCTTCTTCTGGACATAGTTTGCCTCCTGTTGTCATTCTTCATACCCAATACCGGCTCTAAATGGGTAAGTTATTTTTCTATATCTCTTACCCTTACAGAGGCTCATTTTTACATCTCAGGATCCTGCTGATTGGTATGCAGTGCCTGTCAGGGTATACTTTGGTTAAACCTGCACCATTAGTCTGAAACACTCACAAGACCTTGAGGTTTTTTCTTGGTGTATTGTTTCATAGAGAAAGTCTGTTTCAGATTGTACCAACTCCATGAACTATCATGAGTAAAGCAGGGTTGGGATTACTGCCCATTCCCTCAGTCCTTGTTGAATAAACTGGGACAAGAGTGCCTTTCAAAATAGGTTTTTATAATCACCTATTGAATCTCACCCCCGGCTCTTCTAGTGGAGTCCTTGCCACTTATCAGTTCCTAGCCGCTGGGGTGGGGCTTCTTCCTGAGTGTGACCATTTCCACTCAGTAGAGAGTAGGGTGGTGGTGTTTTGTTGGTGTGGATTGTGCATACCCTTCTCATATCATGTAACTGATTTAAAATTCCTGACACCACCTGGTTTTGGACTGGATGGATCTGCCAAATGCAGTTCACCCTTCCAGTTGGCTTTCCCTCTTCCTACCGCTACCTGGATATTAGTTCCCGGGCAGTCTAGTGTTGAATCAGCACAGGACCAGCCATCATAAGGCCATGCACATGTGATTGGTAGGGATACTTCTCCTACCATGGACTGGACAATAAATTCCTGATGCTGCCTGATTATGGACATGAATTGACCCACCACTTTTGCTTTCCTCTTCCTACTGTTGCCTGGATGTCAGATTCCCAATGGCCTGGTGTTGGTTGTGTACTGGGTATGCATATGTGTTGCCTACCTAGGTTTCTGGAAAGGAAGTTTCTTTTACCTTCTGCTTCCTGGTGTCAAGGTGAAGCTGGTTGGGATCTTTCTCCTACCATGAACTAGATGAAACATACCCAATGTTGCCTGGTTTTTGACTGGAGTTGACTGGCCACTTATGGTCTGTAAGTACATGAGTTTAGGTGGGAGCCTCAAGGCTAATGGCAGTGTTGGATAATGTTGACTTCAACATCTTCTGTTGTTGAAACTGATTTTCTCTGGCAGCTGAGGTATAGATGAGAAAATACTTCTTCTCTTGGCAAAGACAGAAAAGACAGTTAATATTACACATTTTTTTTGTTGCCATATCAGAGTTGTAGTATAATATCCCACAATCATTGATTACCTACATCAATATCATTTTCATTACATTCAAGGGGAGATGAACTTTTAGCTCATATCAATCTGTACAAACCTTTGCAACACTCCATTCCTTTAGGAATAATTAATCCACATGTTAAAGGATAAAAAAAGATACAGAAGCCTGCTCAAGTGAGTACAGGCTCTCTGGAATGAGCACATTAGCTATCAACTGGCCACCGATTTCAGTACCAAAAAACATAAAGGTGTGTGTGTATATTTTTGTATGCTTTATCAGTAGTGTGCAAAATTTTTTAATGATGCTCTTTTCTAAACATGCGTTTTGTTGCTCCCTCATCATTTTTCCATGTTGATTGTTGTTACTGTATTACTTAATAGTAGTAACATTTGTACAATAGTTTTTAAAACTTCTTTATTTTTGAAGAAATATTGGAAACCAATAGGCCTAGAAATTGTTATAAAAGCAAGTTAACTATAAACTCTTATTTTGAGCCACATTACAGTTAACTTGTTTATAACAGTTTAAGGCTAGTATGTATTTTCTTAATGAATGTATAAATTTTTCAAAATTTCTGTGCATGTTGCAAGTTTCCTTAATATAGAAAGTTGGTCAAGGGAGCCGCCAAGTTCCTTTCATCCAAGTTATTCATGGAACTTGGCTAGTCAATTAGGTGTCACATGCGATTTCTCACAAGAAAGATTTCTGTAATGTAGAAAATACTGTATAGAAACCAATATTGATTTTTTTCTACTTGAACGTCAAGTCATGCCCCAATGTGACCATCAATCACATGGGTAATACCTGCACCCTGAGAAGAATTACATAGTTGTTTCTCATATATAATGCCATGTTTTCTCAGTCTGGAACAAGATATAGTTTTTTGAAATTACCATATGTTAACATTTGAACACTGAGAGCTCAAGTAAAGGTGCTATCAAATTCACTTGCCTTTGAACTTTGATTGTGTTTGTGTGTTGGAAATAAAGATTATTTTGCTATATAATACATTGTGTCCATATTTTACTCTGCAATACCACACAGTAATGTGCATACTGTTTTGGCCTCTCTTTTAAATTTTTAATTTTATATAACTATGTTCTTTATGAACTTGAGAAAAAGGGAGAAAACAATAATATTTTATTTCATTGCTTAGGACTGAACTTATCAGAAGGCTGAAGAGGTATGAAGTAGCCAACCACTCTTGTCTGATGATAAAGTATGCAAATGACACACGTTATAGTGCTGAACAGGTTTCTACCCATGACCAGTAAGTAGGTTATTTGTTTAAGGAAATATTTTTATATACAAGAGAGTAGAGGTCTTTTCACTTGAAAAATACTAATAAAATATCCAACCTCAGCTATTCACTGTTGATCAACTGAATATTGATGCCATCTAGTGATCTTGGTGACCACTACAAAGTAGCTCACATTTCTCTTTTTTAGATAGTAGCATTAATGCACAGAATGTTTGTAAATAATTGGTGAATAACTGGTCAACTTCTGATGCTAAGTGCTGACTATAGGCATAGTCTGTGGTATGTTATGTATAAGTGCATTAAATAGAAATTCAGATAATCCTGACTCATGTATGATTTCCTTAGTTATTGGTTTCAGTGTAATATTGAAACCACTTGGAAACATTCATTATCATGACATTTGTGGCAGAACACCTTTCTTCAGATGTATTAATGTCTTAAGAACCAGAATTAACTAAAAGTTGTTATACTTGACAACTAACTTTGCTTCTAATTTTTAAACAAATTTCAAGTGATATTAATGTTGCACCCTATCATTTATGCTGTGCTGCTACTTATCCTAGAGCTCTTTAGAGCTCTGTTCCCTCTTGTAATTTTTAGTTTTATTACGTATTGATTAGATTTCCATTAGCTTTGCTTTAAGAAGCATGTTAAACTTGTGTTGATATTTTTTCAACTCGTGTCTGTAATATATGTAAAATGAATTATTCTTTAATTTATTTATATTCACTGATTGATGTGTATTTACTTACACACCATTCTTGCCTGTTTCCTAAAGTTAAAATGGTGGACAAGAGACTAAATGCAATAATTTTAGTTTTTTTAAGTAGATGCCCTTTTAAAGGAAACATTTTGTATGTTTCTACAACAATAAATTGAATGCTTAAATTTCTCTTTTAAAATTAAATGTTTATTCATATTCCATTGTTATATCTAAAACCTGTTTATTTCGAACTAATTTCTGCAGTCAGACTTTACCAGCAGTCCAAACTACTGAACTTGGATGCCTTAAAGATGAAAGCAAGAAGTATAGTGTGATTGGCATTGATGAAGGCCAGTTTGTAAGTGTGATTTATTTCTTGTTCTCTATCTAACTTTGAACATGAATTTGTTATTAACTTTAATAAACAACCGTACTGATGTTTCATTATAAAAGTAGTTTCCTAGTCAATATGACTAATAATTTAACAAATACAATAAGTATAGGAGTGCTTATATACAGTGTAGTATGAGAAATTAAACTATTCCATACAAAATGCATTAGTATTGTAGATTACCTTAAAACTTTGTTTAGTCGTAAAACACCAGCAACATCAAGCTTGTATAATAGTTGCACTACTAAATTAAAACTTAAATATTGTGTCATCTGAATATTGTTCAGATTTTTGGAGAATTGAAGAAGTAGGTTAGGGTTTAATGTTTCAACAGGAAAGGAAGAATACCACATTCCTTTGACTGTATAGATAAGAATCGGAGACATTGACCATTTCCATGGAACCTTTTTTTTTTCAGATTTATATATCTTCTCACTATAATGGACATAGCATGTATGTCAGTATCTATGTATTTAACCAAAATACCTGCACCATCTATTGAATGGCACCACAAACAGATTTCCATAAAAAATTTCACACTTTGAGAATTCAAGATTCAGACAGTTAGAAAATTCTTTATAATAGCACACAATTTTAAATAAAAGTACTCTCCTCACAACAAGAACATGACTTTTACTAGGACTGATTATATCTCTGTTGAGGTAATTTTTGAATGTAGTACTCCAGTTTCTCAGTACTACATTTATAAATGTAGCACTGAGAAACTGGAGTTCTTAAAAAAAACTTGTGTTTGTTTTCAATAAACGGTACCATTTTTAATATATAAAAACATTCCAATTTATACCAGTAAGATTTATGAAAAATTTGAGGTCTGTACATTGAATAATTTTTATGCGATGAGTTGTGTATAACTAAAGAGCACAATCCAAACACTTCTCCCATGCAGTACTTCCCACAAAAAATATCCTTTTTTTTAAAAAAAATTGTTCAATTTTCCAAAACTTTTTTCAATGAGGTATGAATACTACGATTAGTAATTACTAGCACAAACAGCTACCCATAGGGCAGTTTCTGCTAGTATATATGAATTTGCTTTTTGTTCAAAGCATTTTTTATATCACTTTTTCAATTCTCATTTAATTTTGGATAAAGTGACACTTAAGTCTAGCTCATAGTTTCTGTTCAAAAAATAATTAAGTCATGGTGTCATCCTTTGATAAAATTTATGATCTATAATTTAGTAATGGGTAGTAGTTTCTTATAGAATTTTTTATTATTATTAAAAACAATTTATTGAAGTTTTCAGATATAGTGGAGTTTGCTGAGGAAATGGCAAATATTGGAAAAGTGGTAATTGTTGCTGCCTTAGATGGAACATATCAAAGACAGGTGAGTGTAAGAGAATTATATACATGTTTACTGATCATTAAAAATGCTTTTTTTTCTACTTCTAAACATTTTATTACGAAAGAAAAAAATTGTCTTACTTTTGTTAGTTTTAGTTATTGATTATTATAATGATATAAAAGTAATGGATTCTTTGTGCAGTTTAACTGCTGGCTGGTTTAACAGCCATTATATGAAAAATATGGCTACATTTTCCAGAAAACAATCATATTATATAGTGTTTTTATTTCTTCTTGGACATTTTTTAAAATAATGTGTAGAAACTAAACATATACCATACAAGTCTATGAGTTTGTAAAATTTATTTATGATTAAAACTTAAGAAATACAGTTTCTAGTTGTACATTGTTTGCTGAATTGACTATAGTTTAAGAATATTTTAAATACCAGCTGAACAGGCACATTGTACCATAATTTGAAAAATGGTAAGGAATGTAAGGATTATTAAATTTTGGTCTGGGAAATATGTTCAAATTTTAAAGAATATTGTGTATAAGAATTATAAGATGATAGTATTGTGATGGTTATTTTTCAACACTGTTCCTATAGCTGTTTACAAGCTACTAGGTTCTAGAGACTGTTTTTTAGTCTTCAGTGCTCGTAAATGCAGTTCTCATATATCATGGATTTTATTCCTAGCTCCTGTCTAATAGATATTTAACACTGTAAAATCATTTTCTTCTTTCATCCTCGATTGTGAATTTTCTGTACTTGTATCTTCTAACAACTGATATTTTTGTTCTTTCTTAATATCTACTAATATGTTGCTGGTATTATGAGGATATCTTGCAATCTTTCATTCATGTAAATGCTATTATGTTGCTTACATATGTATATATATATATATATATATATTTATAAATTGTAAGAACTTTTCTGAACTCCTTTCCTTGAGCAGACATGGCATGACTTGGTGGTTAGAGTATTTGACTCACAATCTGTGGGTGTCACAGGTTCGGATCCCATCCCTGAACATACCCTTTCAGCCATGGAAGTTTTATAATTTGATGGTCAATCCCACTATTCATTGTGAAAGAGTAGACCAAAAGTTGGTGGTAGACAGTCTTGCCTAGCCGTCTTCCCTCTGGTCTAGCACTTCAAATACAATACTTATAGTTTTCCATGAAATTCAAAACAAACTTCTTTCTTTGTATATACCAATAAAATGCTGATTTTGCTATCTCGTGTTTTAGTTAATACTTGTAAGGTGCTCTGTATATAATATTCTTTTTAAACACACCTAGTTAGTGCTAACAAGTTGGTTATATTCTTGATCTCTTGCCTTTTTGGATATTATGAAATGTTTTTCTAAATCTTCTGTTATTTTGGAATACTTTTCTCACTTGTATGTTATTGTGGATGCTAAAAAGTTGTTGATATGGTTTGGCTTGTTTGATTAACACCATTATTGTAGTAGGAGTTTGCTACATGCAATAATGTGAGGACCTTTTCAGCCTTCTTTTCTTGTACTTCCTAATGAATTACTGTACGAAACTTTTCTGTCCTTGTCAGTGTTATGTATGATAAGTTACTTGTATTGTAGAAATGTTTTAATTCTACAGTCATTTAGGTGATGCAATGTAATTAATTTCTCATACCTAAACTCATTTCATGCAACTGAATTGTAAAAATACAGATAAAAGAGATGTTAATGTTTATGATTTTCATTTTCAAACTTTTAAAGTTAATTTTTTATTCAGTAGGTTTCACTGTTTTCGGAGATTTAATTGTCAAATAAAATTATTTATTTTAGAGAACATTCCACAACTTGTTTTTTATTTTGAAGCAATAGTGAAAGGACCTTCTTTTAACATAATGCTTTCTGATTGAATTAGTTTTAAAAGCCAAAGTTAGGGTATGTGGCACTGTTTACTGTATAAGCTTATTGTTATATTTTAGTAATGATGTACAATAAACAGAAAATTTTACAATTTTTCTAAAATTATAAATACAATGTATGTTAAAAATTATTTTTATTTTTTAATTGTGTAGGGTTTTGGTAACATTCTCTTTTTGGTTCCACTGGCTGAAAGTGTAATTAAACTCACTGCAGTTTGTATGAATTGTTTTGAAGAGGCTTCTTACACCAAGAGAAAAGGCTCAGAAAAACAGGTAATTTAAGATGTTTGTTAAAAAGTAAAAACAACTTTTTTTAAACAAAGACCAAGTAATACTATCTAACATTATGTAATTATACATGTGTAGTATATAAGTGTACCATGTGTTTTCTGTCTCTTTGTATTAATATAGATCCTCCCATAGTTTATATGCTACAGTAGATACTGATGATACCTCTACCCAAACTTAGTTTTGGATAGAGAAGCAAAGCACTTGCTTTGCATTTTGAAAGTTGGGTCACTATAAAGTGAATTGCTGTTGCAGTTGTTTTAATTCCTACCAAAGGTTTATCAATAAGAAATTGAGAAAGCCATGTTAGTTTTATTGTCGTAAGCATCAATACTAGAAAATAATGTAGCAAGGTGAAGTTCTTCCAGTTCAGATTGAGGAGGTAGCATGGGTGCAAGTAATTTGTGGCAGTTTTATGAGCAGTTATGAGTGCAAGAATATGTATGGTCCTATTGCTGTCAACCACTGAAGCATGGTCCTCAGCCTGTAACACAGCTAGTAGTTCCCATAGTTCTAATGCAAGAGGTTCACTTTACATAACATAAAGATTGGAGGGCACCAAGGTGTCACTTGCATTTGTGCTAACATTCAGTGGTGATTCCTTTGGCCATATTTGGGTCAAGATGTTCATTGCTGGTGTCAGCACTGTAAAGTCTGTGCCACCCAGAGAAAAACTTGACCAAAAGAATGTAATCTCCAGCAAAGAATGTTGGTTTTCCTTTACGCACAGTAGCCCTAGGTTCTGCTGCTCTACTCCAAGAGAAAAATTGAGGTTATCAATATATGCTTCTGGCTGTCAACTAACTAACTCAGTACAGTCTATAACTGATGCGTAATAGATACTAGATTGTACAGTACAGAGCACTTGAAGAAATCTACATGGATCAGGAAGCTAACTTCAACAGCCAACTTTTCAATGAGGTGTTTAAAGTGTTGGGTTTAGTAAAGACACACATTTAACTTTATAACCTCAGTCTGATGATATAGAAGAGTGGGTACTACATACTTTAAAGATATGCTTCTAAAGTTTGTTAATCTTAGTTAAACCAACTTTGATGAGCATTTATCGTACATCATGAAAGTGCAGAACAACTAAACAGAGATCAATGGGTTGTTTGATGAACATGCTCATGTTTGTGTAGGAAGTATTGATTCTTGTAGATGTGATGTATTATCCTACCCTACAGCAGATGTCCCATAATGTACGCAATATAGAGTGATTATGTTCTGCTACATACATGAGCTCAAACACCAACAGCTAAGAAAGGTTAACAAGGGTCCAAAGAGATGCTATGATAGAGTGATGAAGAATTGGATATATATTACCATGAAGACTGGGTGTGGTGTTGATATATGCCAGTAGCATGGATGCAGCTTGGTTCCAATTGGACAAGTCCTTTTTCTTGTGGTATTACGAGTTAAGCCACTAAGCTACAAATTACAGTAGTCAAGAGATGCATGAAATCACACAATGTCAACCAGTTGTGTCTGTACATTACCAACAAACCTTTCATGCAATTCTTTTCCTCCTGGTCAAATCAAATTGGTGTACGGGCACAACTGGTTGACATTGTAATGGTCTCACCCTCCTCTGACGCATGAAAGGTTTGTTTGTAAATTTCTTTTCCTCCTGGTCAAATCCCAATAAGTCAGAGGAGGGTGAGAGCCTTGTTTTTATTTCACCCAGACCCAGAGAATGAGAAGGAAAGAGCTGAAAGGCCTCACCTGGCTGTTCACGACAAGTCATATGAGGAACCATTGGATGCGAAAAGTGGCTTTGATAGCCGAACTGCTGCTGATGGACTCCTAATTGATATGACTGGAACTTATCAGTCATTGATTAATTTTCTAAAACTACATGCCTTTAGGAAAGTTCCTCTTATTATTGTTTTTATTTTTGGAATGAAATTTGAGAGAGTTACATAACCTATTTACAGTATAAGTAGGCCAAGTTCAAAGGGTTAAGTCTTCCAGGGCTGAGCAACCCTCTCCAGAAGCTATTCAACTTGCCATGTCAACGGTGTCAAAAGCCTTTGTTGACTTTTTTAATGCATAACAATTAAAATCAAGTGTCATTATTAAACTATTTCTTTTATTAATTTGCTTATATTATTGTAAGGATTATTTCGTATGTTTCACCATGTTCTCGTGTGACTCCTTTTTATTATATGTGTTGATATATGAATTTCTGTTTTATAATTATTGATTTTAATGTGTAGTTAACTGTATTCCATTATTAAAGATTTCAGTATAGTTACTGATAAAGGAAATGGTGTTATGCTTATTGACTGATTGTATCTTACTTCATCATTAAAAAGTTTTTTTTATATATTTTACAGTTTTGTACTGTGATTAACTTTTTTAAAGAGTTTTATTTTCTTATGTATAATGTGATTTTAAGAAATGTAATTGTTAAAAAGTTTCATCGTTTCTTTCATTCTTTGCTACTGTAGGTTCCTATATATGGCATTATACTTTAGAATGTACAATTTGATTCCTCAGTTTCTATAAAAGTATTTATTATGTACAGTGTTCATTCTTCTGTATTAAAGATTATTTTGCTGTGTAATGTTTATTAAAGGGTGGCATTATGTAATTATTGAATTTATTTGTTAAAGGTTTGTGTTATCTTTGTTGCATGTAAATGTTATTACAGGGGTGAAAGAAAGTTACACTGCTTTTTGACCAACATGTATCTGTAAATGTTAATGCATTAAACTTAAGATTAATGTTGGCTCAAGGTTAAGCTTGAACTAGAGGGGAAGGAAGAGAGTAGTATATAAACATACCATGTGTTTTCTAGCCCCCTTGTATTAATATAGCAATTTTTCGAAATTTATTTGTGCAAGTATATGCAGTTTCCACATAACATAATGGTAAAGAAGGTCATGAAGTCCCTTTTGTTCTGTGTCATTCACCTAGAGTAGTACCTTATGCCTTCCCATAGTAAAACTTATCTGTTGTGTGTGAAATTAGAGAATTATCTTTTTCACTGGCAATCAGATGATCTCTTGGGGGTTATGACCTCTCATATATTTCATGGGTAATTACTAGCCACATAGATAGTGCTAATTGCTTTGGAAAAGTCAGACATTAATGAGTTAAGTAAACAAGTATTATGAGATTTAGTTAGTCTCAAACAGGATCTCAACAGAGTTAGTCTAATATGATCTCTGAGTTAGTTTAGTATATTACAGAAAGAATAACTTCAAACCTAATTCTCCAGTAAAGGCATCTGACTGTTGGGGCAAATAAAGTACATTTTCATTGTGTTTATTTGAATAGAGTACTTATTGTGATTGTACATTTGTGTTCAATCTCTTTACTTCTCAAGAGGTCAGTTATTCATAGAATACATTATTAGTTTGTAGTAAATATCTTGTTGAATCTCTTTTTATTTAGCTGATCTTTCTTGTCCCTTGCAAGGTAAACTAGTACTATATGAAAATACTATGTGTATACTTATATGTATATATATATACACCGAGTGGTCACAAGTAAATAGACACCTAATTTTTCATCATTTAACTGATTTATGCTACCTAATTTGTGTTCACAAAGCACTATATAAATGAAAATGGTCCGCACACTAATTATTTTGTGCTACAACATGCCTAGAACTCAAGCTTCTCTCAAATTGTCAGATTTTGTTAGGGGAAGGATAGTTGGTCAAGCAGATGGTGGAATAAGTCAGCGGCAAATTTTGCAGAATTTGGGAATCCCGCTTTCAACAGTCAACAGAATCATCGTGCAGTTCAGGAAACACGACAAGGAAACAACTAAGCAGCATCCAGGTCATTCTGGTCCATCAGGGAGGACAAAAAGGGCTGTCAAAAGGAGCATCAAAATGGATCCCAGATTAACAACTGCAGAAGTGGCCAAAGTTGGTGGGATGAGCCCGAAATCTGTTCAACAGTTTCTCCACAGATTGGGTTATTGCAGAGCAGCTAGACGGTAGCCCTTATTAAGACCTGCCAACATAGTCAGACGAAAGA